TATATATATATATAATTGTGAAAAAAAGAAATCTTTTTTTTTCAGCAAGATTTTGGAAATGGTTTGGTAGAATATATCTGTGCAAAGCGATAAAACGAATTGCAAACGTTTTCGTATTCATTTTTTGTTGCTGATATATTTAGTTTTCACGAGTGAAGTTCACTTGATGAATGACGAGCCGACTCTTCTCTGTCATTACCATAATAGGCGGCAGCTGGCACTTTGACAGCACCTCTAAGCCTTATTGCTATGCCAAAAATCTATCGGACCATCGAGATTTCCCTAAGTATGGTCCAGCTGGGTTAGTTTCCCTAGCCTACCTCCATCTGCTTGACTGCTATTCTTTTAATATGACCCTTTCTGAATTCTTTCTCGTTTTGCAGATACCAGTACTATTTCTTTCTAATGCTGTTTATCTCGAAGAAAGTGAAGAGTGAGAAGGAGCGAAAGAAAAAAGAAAAAAAAAGAGATTTGTGACAGCCATTTGTAGAAATCCTGACACTTCTGCCCCTACGGGTTTTATAACACATAGGGATTCTTTCCTCTATATCTTTACCCTACTAAAGTATCTTTTAAACATAATTTTAAGCACTTTTATCTACCTACCAAGTTTCCTTTTTTAAATATTTCAAACTTTCTTAACATCGATAGTCGATAAATAGCTACATTCTCGTAGTAGAAAACTTTTATTCTTTGGCGATAACGAAATATTGGAGTAGCCGAAAAAAAAGGCGATTAAGAATATTGGAATAGCCGAAAAAAAAGGGCGATTAAATATATTACTTACCTCAATAGCCGAACAGAATTTTTCGTAAACACGAGATTCCGAAAAATCTCTTTTATAGCTCTACTAGTTACAGCATGGGATATATCCACTACTACTGGCGTCAAATTACTAAATCAAAACGGGAAGTGCTATACTACGTCGGTTTGGACGAGGTAATTTTTCTTTCTCTCCTTCCTGTCCACGTTGAATAGGTCGTTCTCGAAACAGCTTCACAGAATCCGTTGGGGAATCGCTTTCATTTTGTTGACAATCATCCATATAACATAGATTTTGATTTCGGAAAGGAGAGTTTCATTTAAACGGTCGCCAATGATTGAAATATTTTCAATTTTTCTCTTCAATTTTTTTTTATTTCTTTTCTTCTTCTCCTTTTTTTAAAAAAATCGAAATTGCAATTTTTATATTGGATTTCATAGTTTTGATTATGAAAGATAAAATGGACTTTTCTTAAATTCGTGTCATGTTTCGATTAAATTTTAAATAATAAAAACCGAATGAAATACGGAATTTTTTTATTATTATTTTTTATTATTATTACTATTACTATTATAAAAGAAAGAGAGTGTAAAGAGACTCTTTCCGTTCTGGGAATACCAAGAGGAGAAGTTTAGGAAATTACTCCAGAAATGTTTCTCCTCGGTTTTATTTCAATTCTCTGGGAAATGAGAAAATTGAGATTGTATTCACTATATTTATTTATGATATATTTGTGAAATACGTATAAATAAAAAATGCAATAAGTTTACAAGTCGATACACATGCACTTATCGAAGTTTAATGTTTGCATGTTGAAAATTTAATATTTAATAATGCTTAATGCTTCTCAATACTCACAAAAAATTTATTTGATTGAATATATTTAAAAATACAACTCTTTTTATTCTATTTATATTAATTATAATATCATCGTTTCGTAGATTTGTTATATAATCTCTAATTTACATATTTAATTTAATTAAAAATTGTTACTAGTGTTGGATTTATTGTATTTCTAATTGTCGTTTAAAGTATTTTTTTATATGCTAGTATCTATTTTTTATTTACGTTTATGTTTGAAGCCAAACTTAGAAATGGTTAGTTTTTGTAGTTTATTTACTACAAAAACTCTGACCCTTTCTATAGTAATAAAAAGACTATCATGGAACTTTTCAAAGTGCCTATATTTCTCTTTTATTAATAATTACTTTTTACAGAAATTATATTTTTCTGTCATAATATAGGCCTAAAAGTCCATCAAATTGAGACCTTCTCGAATTATAACCATTAGGCATTTTAAAAAAATAACCGTTTACGCCTCTTCTCACTGAGAGGGCCTTATACTCAAGCCCATTATGGTGTTGGCCAAGGGATGAGGCCCGACATGTCCCGGGCAGACCGCTATTGAAAAATTCCTGTGGTTTTCCGGGTCCTCCAGAGCAATAGGCTGACATCTTATATATTCCTTTGTCTTACTTATCTTGATATACTCCTCTATCTTAGAATGGTAACTCTTCATGGTAACTCTTTTAGAGAGACAGATATAACAGTCCGATAAAAATAACATTTATTTTACCGAAAGAAACATTTAATAGGTAGTTCAGAGCATTATTTCAATACGGAAATCGCCAAATTTTTTCCAACCGTAGTTATATTATAATTAAAAATACCCAAAACTAAAAATACAAGAAAATTTTGTTATACGTACAGTACATTCGCTCTTACTCACGACCTAGCCTAAACAATACATAAAACTATACATAAAGTCAGAGGACTAACAATAAAATAAAAAATTAATGGCTAAAGTTTATTTTTTCTTTTTAATGGTTTGCATTTTTACTTATTTTTATTACATTTTTAGGTAAAAGCGTGGGCCTCACATTCCACTATAGTCAAATACTGTACAGAGAATTCGTCGACTTCGCAAGTACTGTATACTGATGTATTTTTATTGAAAGGATAAATGTAAAAATAGGAGAATTTTAAATAGAGGATACTTTAATGTCGTTAATTAATATTCTGCAGTGCTTTTCTATTTACAAATTCTCACTTGTGCTCGCTTAACCTTCGTGCCTAAGTGAGGTTTACTGCTATGCTGAAGTTTTGAAACGTGAGGTTTTGAAATTTCCATGCAGACATGAGTTGGTTTGAAAGTTTCAAACCAACTCATGGAAATTTTAAACGATACTATAAAAACATTGTAAAGTATCGAGCCACAGAAAAGCTTCTCGTGTGCCATAGTTTGTCCATATCTGACCTAACATCTTATTGTCTTACTGCTGTAATTCTATTCACTTTGATCTATATATAAGAATATTATTCGTAAGAAAGCATTAAAATAGATAAAGAAATCAAGATTTTCTTTCTAGATTAATCCGATAATCATATTTACTAGGCTTATTCTGTATTCATAAGCTTAAAGTATTACATACATTCACATCAAAATGATGTTAAGGGAAAGCCAGTAATATTGTTACAGGCATCGGTTAGCTATCGGTAAATAATAAAGGAAACCAGATTAATGGTTCTTCTTTAAACATTTATTTGGATCTTTGTATTTGTCTTATGGACGGACGTCTGCACACAATAACCGCCAAAAGGTGTCCATCGGATTCTCATCGGGATTTTATCTCCTTTTTTATTGTACGTGTCATAAAAGAGATATGGTTACAAACAAAAGTTTAATCTTGGATTTATATTTAATAACATAAGCGAAACTCTAATTTTTCTTTTTGTTTTGAAACTTGGTATCGTAGATTTAAGGCCGAAGAAGAAGACGTCGCCAGTTTACTTTTCGAGTATGATATTTCATACCTGTACAAATGTCATTGCTAGGTTTTCATCAAACATTATATGGTATTGCTGCACTCGTCTCCAGTACAGGATGTCAACAGTCAAAACTTGATAGTTGTCAGGATATCGGATGACATCGACGTAATCCTGCGACGAAATACGGGAATAAAGAACGCTTTTATTGGATTTCCTGTAAGACAGCATCAATCATTTCTCTCTTGTTTCCTTCAAAAACTTCATTTTGCCACGATTGTCATCATTCATCTTAACATAAATGAATATTTGATTAATTATACAATATTTATAATCTACTTTATAATATTCGATTGGATAAAATTTGTCATTCTTGTAATGTTGCAAGGTGTGATTAAGTTACTAATTGGCTTCCATCTACGAAATTATGCTGGATAAGATTTGATATGCGGTAAAGAATTATGAAATCATTGTCAATTTTTGTTGTCCGGAGATTGTTGTTATTCCTTTAAAAAGAATAATCAGATTAATCAGAAATGAATTATTTGTCGTGTGAATCGATAAATCGGGAATTGAAATATATTAATATTAAACAGGAGCAGCTGAAAATGACGAGTTGAAGCATCTGAAAAAAAATCCTTGGTTGTATTAGAAAATGCATATACAAAAGTAATTAAAATTGAGGATTTTTCTAAAGATCATTTCGTACTTTATAAGAATATTATTTATTCGATGAAGGTTCTTGGTGGCATCTTGTAGCTGTTTTTATAACGGGATTAACAGGAAAAAAGTCTGAATGGTAAAATGTAGTCTTTGCAGATTTCTGAAGTGCTATCTAAAAAGGAAATATTTGATTGAATCACAAATCCTCTTAGTCTCTAAATTAAAATTTTGATTTTTCTTAAATAATATTGACCTTTTTAATAATCTCGAGCTTTTTTATTATCATTATTATTATTATTATTATACAGAAGAATGTATTGAAAATTCGAATTTTCGTTAAGTGAAACGAATCTATTTTCTTTCCTTCTTTTTTAAATTTACATAGGGGAGACCGGGGCAACTTCGGCATGCGGGGCAAGTTTGTCAAGCGCTTTTTTTCAAAAACAAATTAAAAAAAGATTTTGGTTATAGGTTAGGCAGTTGAGTTTTATTGGTGGCTTGTTGAGTGTAGTGTTTTTATTGTTCTCCAACAAGCGTAGTTGAATTAATAAGCAAATTTTCATTTTCGTTCAATTCCATATAATATTTTGCTTCCATTTATATTGAATTGGCATGTTTTGTTATAATTCCATGATAACGAAAGTTACTTTTCCTGTTAGAAGGATGTAACTTCAACTTATTCACGTGGCCAGATCGTGGCTTGGCATTCTGTTCTCAGGGTTGTACTTAATGTTTCGAAATCATGACTAGCGGGGTAAGATCGGCAACATAAAGCCACATTAGAAGCAAAGGATAAAAATCAAACTGATGATAAATGAAAACATGTTTGCATTTGTTATTCATGTATATATGTCTTTGAACTTGCATTTCGTTGTAATAATATTAAATGGGTGTTGGATTTGTATTTATTTGTTTTAATAGTGAATCCCAACTTATACATTGTTAATAACATAATTTTATATACGTGCCTATCTTGCCCCATTACTGTTGCTCCTATACCAGAGGCAACTTTAATAAAAATAATTAAAATAATTACAACTTTACAAAAAGAGAGAAGTTGCCGATCTTGCCCCTATACCCGGGGCAACTTCGTCAATTTCTCTCTTCTTGTAAAGTTGTAATTATTTTAATTATTTTTATTTCCAAACTGATTTTAACCAGTTCTATAGTAATATAACATTCCAATAGACAATATGCAAAGCTTTTTTTCAGTTTACAGCAGTATTTATTACACAAAATTTAAGTAAAGCTTAACATGCCGATCTTGCCCCGGTCTCCCCTATATCTGTATTGTATTTTAATTTTTAATTAACACGCAATATTCAAGAATTTTATTTTTAAACTTTTTTTCGAATTCAGTTTTATAATCAAGAATTTATAAAGATTTTTAAGATTGGCAACTGTTTCATCAATGTCCAAGAAGAATGTCACGCGAGACTGTTATGAATATTGCTCGTTTTAAAGCTTAATTAGAATTAAAGAATAAAGTAAAAACGGTAAAGATGCTATCTAAGATATGTATTTTTTAGTTAAAATGAAAGTGAAAAAAATATGAGTATTTTCTCTTCTCTCTGCACAGTTATTTGAATTGACACGTGTCTGAATGCGAATGAAAGAAGAAGAAGAAAGGCAAAATATGTCATTCGATTTTGGTACATGTTAAAAATAAAATTCTATTAATGTATTTCGAGTTTGTGTCCGGATATTACTTCGTTGCGAGTCTTCACAATTTTGAAGTTTTCTTATTCTTTTTATTTTATTTTTTATTATTAATAAAATGAAATTACTCTCGTGCAACCATAGAATGTAAAGAAAATTTTTACTTTGGCTTTCAGTCAAGAAGTTTTCTTTTTGCTTTTTATTACAAATCTAGAGGGAATTTCTATAA